GCAATACACAATAAAGTAAATATAACTTTATGCAGGGTAGAATGAAACCATGAATATAACTCAGGAAGAAGTTAATATTGCACAAAGCCACACACTGCCACCAAAACCTGATCAAGCAGGTTCGCTGTCTACCAGATCTGTCAAATCTGATCCAGCCTCTCCATAGGGATCCATGTCCAAGTTTAGTATTCACTATGCGCTTCTCCAGAGGGTGTCTTGAAAAACTCTGCTATCACAACTCATCTGCTATGCTGCAGCCACAGTCACCCTCCCCAAGTCCTCCTATATCAACAAGACTGTAAAGGAAACCACAACGCCTCTTTGCTCTTCCTCTCCTGGATGAGGTTTGTCATTGCTCCAGCTGGTCTTAACTTTTGCCCACAATGGTAAATTTATTGCCCCATGCCAGTAAAACAGCTGACCTCACAACATCAGCTCCATCGTCTGCCTTTCAATAGATCAATCAGTTCAAGAACTATTTTGTTGCTACGGGGTGTAATGGTTTCACTGGATTTAAATTGAGTTAAAGAAGCCATAAGAAAAGTAGCTAGTATTGTAAAATATAAAACAGAGCTGGAGAATGATATACTTAAAATAAATGGGGATGTAGTATATCTGATACAATTAACATACATTGTGTAGCTATAACAAACTTTATTGGTATTTGGAAAAGTTCAAACATCATTTAGATAAAATGAAGGGCAGTGTGGTTTTAAAAGTTAAGTAATAAGTTCAACAATGTGCTCTGCCATGTAACACCTTGCACGTAATTCAAATAATTTTAAAATCAATTCTTAAACAAAAGAGCCAGATTAATAAAGCTTGTCAGAGTTATGTGGATGGGCTGGTGTTTATAGCTTGTAGTTTACGGTTAATAGGTCTTATTAAAATAATTTGTCTTTTCAGTATAGGAAATATTCTAGTAACATTTCAAATGTCCTTCTGGCTACTGTAAACCACCATTTTACCATTTCAAATAGCATTTCTTTAGTTAACTATGCAGATTTTATATTGCATGAAGCTGGGGTATTTCTTTTGGTGCTACATTCACATTACCTCTGTCAGACAAAAGACTTTCCCATTGATTGTCTGTTGGTTTGAGATTACGCAGTGGGGTTCGATAGATTTTCAGCAGCACCGGGGTCATGAAACTCAATCAGAGCTGCTCTACAATTACTGACTGAGTCATTATAGCACAACTTTTGGTTTTCATCCTGTATGATTACACAGAACTCAAAATATTTCGTACCTTTCAAATGAAGGAGAAAATCAAACCAGCCATGTAGAAAGTGAATTACAGACACACATTTTATTGCAGCTTTATGTATTTGTTTCTGACAGTGTTCATATACGTCAGTCATTTCTCTCTGTTATTGTTGAGTGTTAAGTTATTGTAGGTAAGTTGAAAAATAATAAATGTTGAGAACTTGTTTTAAAAAGTTAACATGGATACATGCATGCATATTTATCTGTTTTATATCATGTTATACTACTGCTGTGATATATTGTATATGAATCTGAGCAAATAAATATGTTAATGTATCGCTTCAATCACACTAATATACCCCACAGACAAAAGTAACTTTCTATAAAATTTAAAAAGTGTAGCAGCTCATTTGTTAAGTCAAATCAAATAAAGAATGTTTAATGTTTTTGGTAGTTAATCACTTACTATTTTTAAATATTGCAGGCGAATAATGTGTCACTGAGGACCTGGTCTTTAGTTTGCACTTCTCTCAAGTTTTATTTATTTATTTATGCGCTATCTGGACCTTTCACATTGCTCTTTAAAATGCTCATCCAGATAATATTACACGTTGTTTATATGGAATACAAATTGCATGCCAAATATTTGGGTAAAATCTCATGTGTAAATCATTATTATGACAGTAATGGTGCTTTATTGCCACTTCCATAAATACTGTGCACAAATCCAGCCTCATAATTGTTTTTCATAGCCCTCAATGATCCTCATTTCTCAACACAACCTTCCTGGCACTGGTTGAGAGTGATGATGTCGGCTTTGGTCTTTTTGTGATTCATTGTTCCAAACTGGCTTCACTGGCGCATTACCCAGTATTCACAGGTGTTTTGGGAAATCATTCGTATTACAATTCAGTTTTAGGTTCTTGTCCAATTTGCTGTGTGTTCTACCATCTAGTCTGACTTGAAGAATTACCTCACAAAAAAACACATCTTAGGTTTGCTGCAGATTCATAAACCCATCCACAAAATATATCAACACATTGTGATTTGAAGCTCACACAGACAGCCAGTACTGTAAGGCGGCTGTGACAGGCCAAAGTTGTGAAGTGGGTCTAAGTCTGTGCTGTGCTGTATTCAGCAATTGCAAGACGCCACAGATGGCATCATCATAACTTCCCCTCATTCACAGGGTCTCTCTTGAATAAAGGCTTGGGACTAAAAATACATAAACATACAGTTAGTAAAATAAAAAGCAACTTCCTGCTAAAATGCTCTCGCTCTATAGACAAAACAAAGGCATGAAACATAGGAAAAACAAAACAAATGGATGTTGATGTGTACCCTTCAAAATAAAAGTCAGCTTAATTCAAATTTGATAATGCCCCAATCATAATTAAGCGAAACACACACCACTACAGTTGCACATAAAGATGTTTTATGTATCCAAAATGTAAAATAGACAAAACATTTGTGTCATTGTGCCAATTTCGAATGATAATTCTTGTGCACCATCATCATAATCATTCTTGTTCATGATAGAAATTATTCAGCTTTTGCTTTGTGACCAAATGTGAACAGAGAGCAGGAGTTCATTTCACCTCATACTTCCTTTTCAAGCCTCAGCCAAAGCCTATAGCTGTTGGCCTGGTTTGACTGTGTCTCTGAGGATCCGTCAGCAGCCAGTCTGTGTGCTGGCAGGTGGTCTGGAGGCATGACCAATACGCTGCAGACAGACAAACAGACAGACCCTGTTGGGGCTCTATGGGACTGCTAATCTGGGGCCAAGCCAGGGTCCTCCGGTCTTGTAGCTCTCAGCTCCTGTTGTCACCCTCTCTTTCAAAAGCATTACTGAACTACATTAACCTCTAGGCAAGGGCGAGTTCCTTCAGTCCAAGTAAACAACATGGAGCGGAACACTGAGCTCAAAACTAAGCAACGACCAAAATGATTCATCAAACTGTTTGGCTTGAACCTGATTTGTAATATATGTGATAAAATCATCAACGTGTCCAGCTATAAAGCAATCAGTGGGGCTATTATCAGGGCCTGGAATTCTAAAAGCGTGTAATTTCTGGAGGAAAATGACTTACGGGACTAATCTCCCTCCTTTACTGATGATTGCATCTCTGTCATTAGCTAGGATGAATATTTCCACATTCAGTGTCCTGTCGTAGGCTCTCCATTTCCTTCTCACAGTGTGATCTAGTCAGGAGTGGAGCTGAGGAGGAGTCGTCTCCTGCTTCTTGCTGTTATTGAACAGGCTGGTAGTGGCATTAATGACTTTGTACAGTACATGTGTGCTATCATTAGCTATCCCTATGGAGAACGGTTCTTTCTCTGGCCCATCTGCTTGCAGTACTGCTGAACTGAAGGAACACCAGAAGGATTGTCATCCAAGTCAGAGCTGAAGATGGTGTACAAATTAAGTATGGCACTGTGAGAAGAATGCAACATAACTACAGACAAAGTGCGTCTATCTGCTCTGAACAACGTCGGCATTCTCTTCACACATCACTGCTAACAGTGACAATGACTTTGAGTCCTACAACTCTCGCATGCGCTTCAGTGGAATCACCGGGGGATGAAGGTCATCATTCAGACTTCCGAACTAATTAGCAGTGATTATTTATTCTAACTAAAACTACACAAGAGAGAGCATGTCACAGTGTGTTCTGGGTACACTTGGTGAGGGATAATTTCCTCCACTGTGTTCACTTGTTCCTGTCAAAGCATGTAAGTATTTCCATTAGTTAACCTGTTTAATGGTGTTTAAAGGATCTAGTTTGTGAGTCTATATTTTTTGTGTTAATTGTCAACAAACCCCATGGAGAGACAAAAACAAATTCTATGAACAACTATTGGGTGTGTAGTTAAAGCTTATATAACAAACATATCAATGAGCAATGCAGTGACCTGGATTGACTTTATATTCTACAATTAAAAATGTACACATAGGAAGGTATTTCAAAGGTTGATTCAGGTATTTCTAGACTCTGTATATGACAATTTGACTATTTCTAGGACAACAAATAAAATAAATATATGTGGATTATCCTGGCAGTGTGGAGAGGGCTCTCACACATAATATTTAGACATTCATGTTAGGAAATATAATTTACAGAAAATATAATTAAACTATTTACTAAATAATTACAAAATCTGAAAATAATTAATATTCCTGTTGTTGGGTACTGTAGTTTATTGTACTTTGAATCAATCAGATAACAGTACTAAGTCCTGCTGCTGTTAATACTCACCAGAGCACAAAATGTATAAATCTGTGACTGAAAATAGTCCCAAACAAATGCACTATTTACAGCTGTTTGAGTAACGGTCGATAAGTACTCCAGTGACCAGCTGTTTTAGGAAATAATGAAACTGTTTTCTTTTAGGTTGAAAGTACAGCTGATGAAGAACACGTGATACCAACATCTTCAGATTGTTCTTCTGAAAACTATATATTTGCTTTTAGTCTTCTGTAGGAACCAGTGGACTTTGGCTCACTGACAGAGTAGAGAAATCAAAAATCCTGAAAATAGAAACACACATTGGCTGGATGTCCTGCTTTTCATCTCTTTACTAACTGCCACTCCACCTCTACACCATTTTAAATGCACAAACCACATTGCTGGCAGCCAAATCATTCTTTTATCAATGAGTTTAGTATTTTGACAATGAGGTGCTCAGTGACCTTGCTCCCAACATCCATTAAGTGTCATTATCATAGTTAATTCTCCACACATTACCTGGTTGAACAATGGCCCATGGCCACTGGGGGTGACATTATTACTCACCCTGATGCCCAGCTCCACATTTTCTCCACCGTACACCTCCATCCCCTCATCCAGCAAGCCAATCTCCTCAAAGTACAGCCTATCCACCACGAAGCAGCCAATCAGGGCTGGGCTCCTGGGGGATTAAAGATGATGAAGATCAGTTTTGTTCCTCTGCACAGGTAATGTTAGCTTGGCACAGTTGCTATAGTGACAGCAGAGATAAGAAGAGAAATGTGACCTTGCACAGCCTATAATTGGTTCATGAATGCTGCCTGAATTACCCTTTTTAGAGTTGACATCTGTTTACTTAATTTCAGATAAAGAATATCATATTATATTATTTGATTCAGACTATCAAGACATTGTGGTGTTCACTTACTGGATTGGTGCACTCTTGTTGCCCTTGTGCCACCAGGACTTTGGTGGGTTGAGGTAGCGACACCACAGCTCCCAGTCAAAGCCCTGGGCAGACAGCGGATACTCTTCAATCTCAAACGTGTCGTACTTGATGTTATCAAATGATGGGGAGATAATGCGAGTTCTGTCTTCTTTAATTCTCTGCAGAATGGGTTCAGCCCTTCAAATATGGAAAGAGAAAGTCATTTTACTTTGAGTGTTTGTTTTGACAGGCTTTCTCCATTACCTTTCTGATCATGCCTGTCATGTAAGGGGCACTTTTTAAAAAACAATTTCACAATTTCAAGATGAATTTGATTGAATTAATGAGTCTGATAAAGCATACATTTCCATCTGATAAGCTGATGGAATTTTTTTTTAAAATCAAAAAGAGATCAAATATGTTTATTTATTTGCAATAATGAAGTAAATCAAAAACTACACACTACATTTTTAAGGGAATTTAATGTGCATGTGTGTCATGTTATTTACACTTATGTGGGACTTTTTTGCTATTAGGAAATTAGGGAAATGTAATATAAAGAGCTCTCTAATTAAACAGTTATACTGTATTTTGTTTGCTTGAACAGTAAACTGGGCATATTTTGTTATCCTCAGACAGAGCCAGGCTAGCTGTTTCCCCCTGTCTTTATGTTAAGCTAAGTGGGTGCATGCATAGCATTATATTTGATGGACAGTTATGAGTGTGGCATCAATCTGATCTAACTTACAGTAAGAAAGTGAATAGGCAAATGTCAAGCAATTGTTTTAATGAGGTCATATCTGGGTCTGGAAGAAAGCAGATACAGTTTACAATGAAATAGTAAAAGTGTGGCCGGTTGTTCAGATACTGATGACAGATTTGGGACAGACTGCAGCATTATCCTGTGGAGTATGAAGACCCTGGCAAATTAGTGTGATCATGTGCAGAGTGAACTCGTGTATAACAGACAGAGAATACAGCTACTAGAAAAATAACCCACCAGCAGTGTTTGTTGTTTTTAAATTAGATAATTTTCTGTAAACCCACACAGAGTGATATGACTCAAACCTCAGTGCTCTTGAGCTGCGTTAGCCTGTCGATGTAAATGACTCACCAGCCAACGTTGAACTCAACGTGGGCATCAAACAGGGCAACAACTGGGGCAGTGGCAACCCTCCACCCGCTCACTCTGGACCGGATCAGACCCTCCTGCTTGGAATGCCGCACCATCTTAATGAATCCTGGACGTTGGCTGTTAAACTCGGACACAAAATCCTGCAGCTTCTCCTTTAGCTCATCTACAGAACACACACATGAATTTTACATCAATATCTGAAGAGCTTTTGAAGATCCCGCATGCGATAAGGTGAGTAAAGTGAGAGCTGCTTGTGAGCAAACTTCCACCCACAAGACGCCGTCATGTCCTCCTCCAGTGGGCAGTATTTCATTGGTAGGAGTCCAAAAGTACTCATGCTTCACTGCTTTGATCACTGGACCAAAGAGGCAGCAGCTTGAGCCAGCACTGCAGACCTCCATGGGGCTTACCAGTCATAACGGGATATTGCAATATTGAGGACTCAGCCTGCAACGCTTTTCAAAACATGAGGGGAGGAGAAGTCCATCCGTTTTAATGTTTGGCTGCAAAGTTTACCTCCATTATTACCTGAGCTATATAGTGTATGATGAGTCATAGCCTGCAGGACAAAAGAGTTAGTGCTACTTATATGAAAAAGACTCACCCTTCTCCCTACAAGTTATAAATGGTAGCAATATTTCTGATAATTCTCTTAAAAATACAATAAATTACAGCAATGTATTAGAGGTTCCCCTTGTGGTTCAACTAGCATTTCAAGCCAAGTGAAAAAACTTGGGTTGATAGGCCACGCTTTGGAGTCAGAAAAAGCCAGAGAGTGAGCAAAACCACAATTATATCACACCTCTATACTGTACTGTAGCTGGAAAAAATAAAACTTTCATCAGCACTGGGTTTCATCATCCCTAGTATAAATCACCTTTGGCTGTGTTCTCACTCTCTCACTTTTAACCACCGGTACCTTTTGAGTTTAAAGGGAATGGGGAGCAGTTGCAGGCAGACACATAGCGGCCGTCGTGAAATCATGCTGCGTCTGGCTTCTTCAGTGGCAGGGTGAGTTGAAAAAAGTTTGATTTTCCAAACAGACAAATTGGAAAACAGTTCTGTTAGTTTAGTTTATGAAGACATTGTCTGTATTATGGGAGTTTATATCTCTTACTGAAACTTCAGCACTGATTTATTTCAATGTGAATTATTTTCTCCTACTCTGCAAACAACAAATTAGGTTGCAGTTTGGCGTGCCAGCTAATGTTGGCACCTGTTAGTAAACAAGTCTCACAGTATCTATCAGTGCATCTACAAGAGTGAATTTCAATATAAAATGCAACAGTATGTAATAGGAGTAATTTTAACTCATCTTTTCATCAGACATTCTTTGTGCATGTAAAGTCAGGATGTTCAACAGCTATTTCCATATTTTTTTCTTCCAATTTACATATAGGCACAGCAACAGTATTGTAGAGGAGACACATTGTACTGTATCACATGCATATAAACGTACATGCAGTAGATATTGATAAAGTAATTATGGTATCTTGATTTAATAAAACGTTAATCGTGTATATATTGTTTTTCTGGAATATGATAATATAACAATGGAAAGCAAAGCATATTAAAAATCAAAATACATTATTGAATGACCACCATTATGACTTTTCATGTCAAGCACAATGTTAAAACCCTGTTTCCTATAAAGTTTTGTTTCTCAACAAAGTGCATTGTGTGAATCATTTAGGCCCAACAAATCCAACAAATGTACTGAATGCATCTCCTTCCTCATTAAAAATTGAAAATTGTGCATTGTTTACATCCATGATCCCTAGTGTGCAGCTTCACTGCCTCTGTTGGCACATTGCTAAGCTCCTTTGTGCATGCCGGCATTCAATAAACCATTTTCACAGCAGCCATTTTGACATGAAATAGTAATCTGTGTTACCATTGATACTAATTAAGGTTATGTTCCATTCGTTAAATAGAGTCAGAGTGCTGCTATTGTGCATGTGGGCTCACTAGAAAGACTCCGCTACACTAAATGGAACAAAACCCAAGTATCATTGGTAACACCTGTGTTTACCTTCTACTTTTTCTTGTCAAATTGGCAGCTGTGAAAAAAGCTCTGTTGTTGATCAACGGAATAAAACTGTAACAGGATTGTGCACCTTGTCGCCTGCAAGCTTACAAGCGTGCATGTGCATCCTCGTATGTGTGTACAATACAAACAAAATGGAGACCCAATAGTAAAAAAAATTGCAAGGTACAGTGTTGGGGTTGCCCAGCTAAAACACCACAGACTCTGGAATTTGTTAAATTACCTCAATTTGTCTAAACTGCTCCTTGGGCAAAAACTGACCTTATGAGTCAGCTGGGGAAATATATAGTAAAAAAGATATCAGAGCCTGAGATGCAGTGTGTTGCATTTAATCATTCCACTGGATGCAGCTGGTCCTGAGAAACTCAGAGAAGTGCTGCTATTTCTCACCAGGCCATAAACAAGTCTGAAGCAGAATAATACTCACTATATGCACCACGTGCAACATGAATTCCTATTCTACATTTATATTAAGTACGAAACTTTCCCATTCAGAAGAGCCAGTAGAGGTTGTGGTTCTCTCCTTCCTGGTAAATTCCAATCCGCAAACATCCCAGGTGAAAATATGCTTAAAGCGTAAAGCAGAGGTTTTAGCTTATGTAGTAGAAAATTGCCTACACTTTGGACACTTAATTCTGGCTAAAGGAAAGCTACTGTAGTTACTCATGCAAGCAGCTGCTCGTGCCGTTCCAACAGATTACTGTATCTATAATAATCCATCAATAATTAAGATATTCTGATGTGTGTGTGACTTGAAAACAAGAATGACGATGTGTTAGGCCTCATAACAAATCATAATAAAGCACAGTCCATTACACCAGGCATGGCTGATGGCCAGCAGTCATCAATCTTTCCGAACTGATATCCTGTTGAAGCTCTGCTGGAAAGCAACAGGCTTTGAGATGGTGTTGGACTGGGACAACAAGTAAACAGGTTTCCAACATCACTGTGCAGTCAAGCAGTAAATCCAGTAACATATTCAAAATGTAACAAGAAAACAGGTTTTTTTCAGAAGATAAAAAGCTAGTGGTGAGCTGCAAAATTGTGAATACACCATTTAGCTCACCTCTATCCTACCCTCAGTGCGATACGACAAAATAACATTGTATGAAACTGTGTATAACTACCTAAATATGGATACTGAATCCACAACTACCAACAATGAAAAGCTGTCTGTATTCAAAACATATCTGCAAGTCTAACATAGCTTAAAAATCTTCTTGTTCAACTTTTCTTGAAGTGTGCAGAGAATTGAATTGTAAATATAATATCTGTAGTTCTGTGCATAACCAAGCAAAGGATGTTTAATTGATAAAAGTGGTTTTATTAATGTTTCCTTTGATGTATATCCTCTTCCTGTTTATGTATGTCTTAACTGGGGTTGTCTGTCTCTTTGTGTATGTTCAAACTAAACACCATTTATCACCACACAGGCGTTACTGCTTGCACAGCAGATGGCAAATCGGCATGGATACAGGTCTCACAGTTGCTGTGTAGTTTGCACTACCCCACTTGGCAATTTCTCACTACACAACTCTGCAGGTGTGAAAATCTCTGTTTAAAATATCCAACTGATACTCACTCTTCCTCCACAATTTCATGGGTCCTGTATCCAAATACTGGGTCCAGGCAGGGTTTGGATATGAGTATGGCAGTTTGTTAAAAAACATTTTGAACACATGTTGCTGAAGTTCCAGTACAAATGTGCACTGCTTGTACTTTATAGTTGGCAGCACATACTGCTAACTCAGCTTTGTTGGTGTTTGCTGATGTCGTCCCAGCTTTTGTGTACCCTCCAGCTTTTATTGGCTAGACCTGCAGCGACCGCTTGCTGGATATCCAACTGGTTTCAAACAGTTGCTGGAACTTCTCTGGACGCCTGAGTCGTTGACTGAATCCGCATTACACCACACACAGTCACAGGGACTGACAGCAGTTTAAAGAGTGTAGAAGTACACACACAAGAGCTGGTCAGTAGCACATTTTACCAGATATTCAAATATCTCCATCGTCTGCAATGACTCCATTACCATTACAGATGAGATGAATCAGACTCAGTTTCTGACAGCTATTGATCTGGCAGATACCATGGAAAACAATAGAAGTTTAAATAAAGGCATTACATTCTTTCTACTGCCTACTGTCTTGCTTGAAATTAGCTCCTTATCACAAAATCCTTTACACTCACATATAAGACTCCTTGGTATTATTATTTAAGTTAAAGTATGGAATCACAAGTCCTCTGACAGCCCGTCTAATAAGTGAGCCCTTCTCAAAAGCCCACTCTTACACAGATGAGCCTTTCTCGGGCCACAGCTTGGGACATTATCCAATTAAGGAGGAATCAGCTAGGTCAATTTGCCCTTCTCTCCCTTGATAGCTACACGTTCTCCTGCATGCTAATGCCTCTCGGAGGTGAGCTGTGACAGTGGCAGATGACTAATGTAAAGCTGTGGATGCCTGGGAGGTTAGCTGTGGACGATGACCCCTTCAACAATCTCAGCAGCATCATGGGTCAACAGGCTAACGACATTTAGCACAGATAAGATTCACAGTCATGGTGATAATGATAACACCAGGCCTATCAGACGCAGTGTGACAGAGTGCTCATGCAAACAGGGTGAAATGCCATGAGCAAAATGTCAACACGTGACTTGGGTCCCTGAAGGAGCTAAAGGCAACTGCTCCCAAGCTCTCAGTTATGTGATAAAATATGAATCTTTATGGGAACTGATGTGATAGTCCAATAATATTCTAGGGAGAGTGTAAGAAAAGTTTGGGTTTTACGTTTTTTAACAGATAACGTTTGATATATTCAACTTTCTGGTCAATAATAGCCAGAGGGAGAGTGATCATTCTTATTCCAGCATGTTGAGATAACTTACCAAGACATATACAGTATATTGATCTATATTCTGTTCCAGCAGGCTACAGGCCATGCTACATGTTTTGCATTATTGACTTTGGAACACATATCTTTCCCAATGCCAGTATTTCCCATGTTGATTACCCTTAATGGCTGTCTCAGTCCTTGTTACAGGCAGCACAGCCCGTTTAGAAGTGTATTGCCTATAAATGACCTTGGCAAAGTATCATTACCTTTTTATAGCCTGCTTTCTGCCTTTGTAATGTAGTTAAGTCTTACACTGTAAATTATAGGTCCACTTTTCACAGGTGACTTCAAGTCTATTTCTTGTGCCTTGCATGGCAGACTAAAGTCACCTATCACTGATCTCACACATCAGTTATCTCAGTAATAACAAGTGAACAGAACTCAGCAGCTACACACTGTCAGCAAATACTGGCTTTCTTTTCAGCCTGGCACTGTTATCTACGCCCAATGAATGCAGATGTAAGAATTAGGGTTGCAAATGCAGACAAGGTACAAACACTTCATCACCTTGCTGTATTGTTATCTGCCTTGGGGCAAATTTCCTGGCTTTGCAGCTAATTAGTGTTATTCATCTATCGGTTAATTCCAGAGAGCACAGATCCTCATTAAAAACATTAAAGTAGAGTGGAGCATTAAATATCACAGATACAGATTTCTCTACACATGAGGCAATGATATGTAAACCATAGACCTCATTTAACGAACAACTACTAAAGCTATTTTCTAAAAGAGACAAAGCATACAGTGTCATACTTTGTAAACCACACCCAACGCAAGGGAAAACGATTGGTGCCACAAAATGCAACCAATGACTAAAACTTTAACTAGCTAGCTAAATACGATAGATTTCAGCATGTGAAAAGATGAAGCACCCTATGTTTACCAGAGAGAAATTTTAGTGTCCCTTCTCCTTACCCTTCTTTTCGTGGAGAAATTATCCCACTGAATGGTAAGAAGTGAAATACCTTGATATTTACAACTTTGATCAGGTAAAATCCTCATTTAACCTAACACAGAGATCAAAACCAGCCTTGTTTAGCTTAATTACCTCTTTGCTTATATTTCTGCTGTAAAGTTGGGCATTTTAACATGTGGGCTTATAGCTCACTTTTGGAGCCAAGCTTCAAGTGGCCATTTGAGGGTCACTTGAACACAGGTTTCTGGTACTTCAGTGTTGACATTATTTTCAGCCCAGGAGGTTGCTTCTTGAACTTCTGGGTTTTCCTTGTTAGTAGTGCATCCCACCACACAGCAGTTTTGTGGCATTTTTCTGTTGTTTGAGAGTAGATGGAAAGTGACAAAGAGGCACTTTCATGCAATACAAAGTCAGTGGAGAGAGATGAACTGTTTTTCCTTACAGTGTGAGTGGGAATTCAGTGCACTCTGTTTCTATGGTTGTTAGGATGTTTGCTAGGCCCCGCCCCTCTGTTGCAATGCCTCATTAGCAATCGGTTCTCACGTATGTTGTTTACAATAATAATGGTGAAACATTTAATATCTAATGTTTTAGTTAATTTTGAAACTAAGGTCCTTGATTTCAAACAGAGGTAGACAAAAGCAGCCTTCTCATTTTTAGCCAGCGATTGCAAATGTTGCAAGCTGAAATAAAAACCATGCACTATTTCAAGATGTTAAGAAATCCAAAGCTGGGTAGGCCTGCTGTGCCTGGTCATGGTTGCTAAGCTACGATTGGACAATTGCTGTATTATAAGATGATGTTTCTTACTGTTATTGCTGTTGTCGTCCACCAGGATTATCTCTTTGAGAAGGTGGGAGGGCGTCCTGTTGATGGCGGAGTGAATGGATCGCAGGATGACGGACAAGGCTTCATTCACAAAAATGAACACAATGCTCACTTGAGGGAGGTTTAAAGGATAAGTGATGTTTCTGCACCTGAGGAGGACAAATAACAAACCCTTGGTGAGGTAATGTTTAGACATGCATTGTGTCTAAAGAATTAGCAGATAAATTTGACATTGATTCCTAGCAGGGTAATGTCAGATTTCATGCCAACCCAGGTACTTGGCAGACAATATCAGGACCCTATTTTCATGAATCAAGGTATAAATGTAGGCACTGGCACCAGTTCATGGCCAGGAGAGTTTTTAGAAATCTGACCACCAGAGTGCTACCACAATAGTGGTGCACCTGCAATGCAGTTATAAAAGGGATCAGTTCAGGAGGAATAAATAATGGGTCATGTGGTAAAGTCTGACATCAATCAAGCTGCTCTTTCCCTTTTAGAATATTGTTTTCTGCCACCGCCTGCTGACATTTTCATTGTGACTAAGGAGACCAGCCTCTTCTCCCAAAAGGAAACAGATGCCTTTTTCCAGGAAATGCACAGAGAGCAAGTATATATAATATAATAATCCTCTTAAAATGACCATTTAATTTAATTACAGAGTGAATTGTGTTGGGGTTGTCATATCTTACCAGTTTCCTGCCCTGCCTGTCAAATTCAACAAAATTACATTGCTGTTACCACATCATGCTAGTCATTATGGCCAAAAGCCTGTTGTATTTACAGAATCCCATGGCTTGGGCACTACTTTTGGGAAATATGTGCAAAATGTGTGTGATTAATGTATGCCCCAGAACAGTTTTGGATGAGTGTACAGAGCGTATTAGTGGGAATGGACGGTCTGAAGGGAGTTTAGTGATGTGCAGTAGAGAAAATGCCCTGAAGATTCTTGTGCTGTGTAAACCTTAACACCAGGATGTCACCTTGTGGGCTCCTGTAACCTTGGTGACTTAAACATGAAAGCACTACTGAAAACTGAGTCATAGCCAACCAGTGTTAAAGATGGTGTATCGACTAGGCAGGATTGTGGTGTTATTTATCCAGGACTTAATTTAAAGTGCACACAGCGCATAAATATCTCCACAAGGCTTTGAAAAAATGCATGTTTCCCTTAATTTATAGGCTGCAGATGGAAAACCTGTAGTTTGTCCTGCCACCTTCAGCTGGCTGAAGTAGTTTGTGACAGATATTGGCACAGTGAGAATCACCCCTTAATCAAGCCTGCTACAAACAAGAGTTTTCCTTTGCCTACGTAAGATGATGAACTCAGCAGCAGGTAATTGCACTAAATGCTGTGGGCAGAAGTAAATTCTTCATTGGTTTTCAATTAGAGGCACTCTGTGTTTGAGAGGGAACAACAAAGCGTTTTTCTTTACGGCAACTGCCTCATAAGTTTCTTTGTTTATTACTGAAAAGTGAATGGTCCTCAGAGCTAGGGCTGATTGATATGAGGATATATACAGTGAGACTAGAGCTGAAATGATTCATCAGTTAATTGTTTGACAGAAAATTACAGTTTCATTTTTCTAATATAAAGAATGTGATGCTTTTCTCTCTATATATATACATAAGGAAAACCAATATTTTAAACCAACAGTTCGAACATGACACCTTGGGATCTAGGCCCGCTTAATGGGCATGGTGTGAGATTTCATGGACAAATCAATTAACACAGACAATAATCTGCAGGTTAATTGATGATTCAAATAATTGTTAGTTGCAGCACTGAGACAATGAAAACGTGTTAACTGTTACTGTTGTAACTAGATTTTGCCGTAGTGTTCATACCGTGGTGGCTATCCCTTTAATATCTCTGGGCCATGGAGGGCAAGGTTGCAATGTTAGTAAGTGGAACTCCATCTTATGGATGGATTGCTATGAAGTTTTTTTAAACATGTATAGTCCCCAGAAGATGAATCCTAATTACTTTGGTGATCTTCTGACTTTTTTTCTAGTGCGTCCATGAGATTCACATATGGAATATTATGAAATGTACACCCTCTGGATGAATTGGTACCTTAACTTTTCATTTACGGCCATCATCCAGTCAAAATTTTAATTTGTCCAAATAGCCTCAGCTGTACTTTTGTTTCCAGTTAATTAGCAAATGTTACCATGCTTAGCTAAGATGTTGAACAAGGTATAAACATGTCTCACATCAGGATGTTAGCACTGTCATTGTGAGAATATTAGCATTCTGATGTTACCATTGAGCTCAAAGCACAGCCTGACAGTGCCTCTAGCATGGCTGTAGATGGTTGTAATTTGCTGACACAGCATTATCATTTCATATTGTGATATATATTGCTATCACAACATAAAATTACATATATTATGATAAAGGAATTAACTGTATTTTCACTCCTATGTGGAGACAGACATATTAGTTGATGCCACAATTACATTACACGAGCAATTTGGTTTGACGTTGTTATACAGTACTACACCTTCTTCGTGGCAAGTGAAATCACCAAAAGGTGCAAGCGAGGAGAGAAATCTGCTTTCACACAATCATACTGACACTTCTGTAGCACAGAATACACTCTCAGTCTGTAATTCAGTCTGAAAACAAGAGTGAAATAAATAATTTAGTCAAACATATTATACTTTATACAGCTAGCATCTAGTCTGGGCTAACAGTATATGACAGTGTTTGAGCACCATTCTACCTGCAGTCTTACCCATCAGGCCTGAGGTCTGGTATTGGCCTGTCTAGAGAGAGACGATCACTGAGGTAGCCGTTATATCCATAGTACTGGAACATCTTCAGTGCCACCCGCCTGTTGTCCGGACTGAGCTCCTGACCCCAGTGAGCAAACAGCGACGAGTCAGAGAATGATGTGTCCGCCTGACCGTCCTCTCCCCTCCCTGGAGTCTCTAGGAAGCACAGGAAGACAAATAGCATGAATATTTGTCTAGGCCACAGCCTCTCAACCTACCGGTGAGGTTGTGCGTGAGGTGACATTTAAGGAATGTGGAAAAATGATAGGGCTAATATAATCACTGTGATAAATGCTGTTTTCCTTGTGCTGTAATGTATGTTAGCAGGTGAAGGGTGGCCTGTTATTTAAAGAGACTGATTGGCTGTCCTTCAACCGAAACTCCGGGAGTTCATACACATGGCGAGAAGCTCTGGCGTCCTTGAACAAAAGATTCAATCCCTACCAGCAGCTGGTCGGCTGTTCTGTAGCTGACAATGCTCTTTGACCTACGCAGAGAGGAGCAAGTGAAACTAATTTCCCTAAAGGTATCGCTAGAGTAACACACACGCTTCCTTTAAATAATTAATCAAGTGGTAATGTGTGATCATTTTTGGAGTAAGTGAACCTTTCTCTGTGAGAGTTCTATCACTAGAGAAGATTATAGAAGGACTCCATTTGTGTTTAAAGGGCTGAAGACTGAAGAGTTCAAAATGAGTGCAGCCCTGACTCATTTCATAGCTGAGCAGCACTGACAGCACAGAGAGCAGAGAGACATTTAACGAACACACACTTAGTGTGACAAACAGTATATTACTGCTTGTGGCCCTTGTTGATAGACTCAGTTCATGTCCAGACTCCATAAAACACTGGTGGCATCTGTTAGAAATTCTGTCCTGCTTCCAAGAGGTTTTAATGCACTTTAGAGGCAAACTTCTGAGTGTGCTTAACAGTCAAGGAGCTTTACCCACAGGAGATTGGTTTACCTGCCAGAAATACAGTATATAAATGAGATAAAAAAGAAGTGATATTATCTTGAAGAATATATAAAAGTTTCCCTGTGCACTTGCATGATTATAGTCCGTAGCTCTGAAGACTACATTTATTTTTACACCACAAATAAAAATATGTTAACAGTGCAAAAGATTTCCCGTTTTTTTCCATTTAATACAGCCATTTCATTGAGTCCTAGTACATGTTGGGATGTGTGATCTGAATATTGCAGAGTTTTAGTGTGATAGAACAGCACAGTGATATTTATGATCTGTGAAAATATGGGGGTTAGGGTGAGAGGTTGGTGGTGGTAACTCAGTGAAGTTGCGAAAAATCTCATTTCATGTGCACTGAGATTAGTGAGAAAGACTATAAACTGTATGATGGGTTGTCTTCGTGAGGTATAAAGAAACAATCTTGAATGAAATGCATACAGCCTAAAAAAGTGTAATAAAATCATTTACTTCATAATAATTGACCTTATTGAAAAAGACAGGAAAATTGAATTCCATGTCATGGATAATTATTGCAAATTCTTAATTAAAATATCCTAATCAGCAGGAAATTAAATCTAATGAAATTCCGTGGTGGTATCATCTGTTATTATATAATAGTTTGATTAAAAGAGAAGACATCAGTCCGCTGTAGCATATTGAGGCTATACCACAATAAAAAAGAGACACATTTCATTATAAAGCGTCTGTATTTCAGGTTACTGCTGACAGACTGACGTTATCAGGAATAATTCACAACAAACCAGACATAATAAATAGTTTTATTTCTTTTTCAGAGTAAACTGAAATGCAAGCTAGGAGAAGAGTGATAAGAAGAATTGTATTATTTTTGTTAATATTATTTGACATAGCAGTGTTTCCTGAAGTTTTAAATTAATATATGTCTCTCAAGTTTCTGAATACGATAAAGATGAATAAACTGTTTATGCTAATAAATGAAGACTGAATGTGGAATGACAATAAACTGAGGAGCCTCAAAGAACCAAAGAGGACAGAAAAGGTTTTGAGTCCTCCGTGACACTGCAAGCAATGCGTGTGTGTGTGCAGTATGCATGTGTTTTAGGCAGATTGGGGAAGGTTAATATTCATGAGCAGATTGTTTTAACATACAAGTGACAAACAGTCAGGCAAGTAAGAGCTAAGACAACAATATGGAAGCATGAAGGGATTACATTATGACCCAAAACAAAAACTGTTTCTGAAAAGGCAGGCAAGGAGTTTACAGTAAATGTCTTTAGAAGGTTAACTATTGAGTTTGTATACTGGGAAATTAAACATGAAGCAGTACCACTCTTACAGTACCCATTAAAGATCCAGTTTGTAGGATTTAGTGGCATTGTGGTGTAGCTGCTTATTGCAACACCCTCACCTCACCCTCCCATTCCAAGCGTGTAGGAGAAACAACGATGGCTGCGAAACTTGTGAAAATGTGAAAGGTCCTACAGCCAGTGTTTGGTATGTCTCTTCTGGGCTACTGTTGAAACATGGCTGCTCAACATGGCGGACTCCTCAGAAGATGACCTGCTCCCTCACCCCACTGTACACTACCTGCCAGCACCAAACAGCAGACAGACAGCATCGACCTGGTGAACATAGTCCCAGAGCATTTAGCAGATAAAGATTTTCCTCAGGAGCTGGTGGAGACCAAAAATGGAGCTAAAAAGAAAATGAATATTGGATTTACATGTGCCAGGAGAACAGAAATTTAACTGAAATTTAACTGAAAATGAATCAAATGTAAACTCTCCATGTACAAAAGCTGAGTTACCACAGTGGCTCAGGTTTGATTCCAATCTATGGCCCATGTTGCATTTTTTTCCCCAGCTGCTAGTATCGAATAAAGGCAAAAAATAACGTAAAAAAAGGAAACAAAAAAAAAAGAAAGCTATAGCTGCAGATAATTAATGTGGCTAATTAATCAAGAAATACCTGAGTAGCCAAAGACTCCTACATTTACAATACCAAATGTGGTAGCGTACAGTATTATACACAAATAGTTATCTTATTATCATTTACATGCCACAATGCCATTTCTGTATTTAAAAAAATACTCAGTGAAGCTTTAATAAATCAAAAAGTCAACCAACATCCAAGCTGAGAGAAGAGTGCACAGTGAACGGTACGAGCCTGAGGCGGAATAACTTTGACTCCTCACATTCAACACGCTGCTGTTAAAGTTTCACTGCTGTGAAGCAGAGAGAAAGTGTCTCAGCTCTTGATAAGACAACACGGTTATTAGACTAAGGACAGCATAAAAGTTCTGAAAGTCTTTCAATTCTGGCAAGTATGCCTGAAGGCCCATTCATCTGACTGCTTGTGGTGGTGATTAATTAAGCCTTCAGAGACAGTTTCCTCAGCGGTGAATCTCTAAAGCAGCAGTCAGGGCAGGTTGGTGTTGTTTGGACAGGGTAACCTGGTCTGTTTAACATGTTGTTTCAGTAGTGCAGTAGATGACTGACAACCATGCTGATAGGCCTGCAACCTGGGGTTCAAATAAATCACACAGTACAAAACAATTTCACCGTATGTCACATGACTCGCTTTTAATGGAGCAAGTCATGTGACACACTGTAACCTTGCTGTTTGGAGAGCGGTTTCCTCTTGAGTACACATTCAGACAACTAACCTTGGTGCTAACTCAAGTAAAGCACAGCCAAATACCTGAGGCAAAAACTAGTGTGTATGTGTGTGTATGTGTGTGAGTGTAGAAAGAGGTGAAGTATTCCCTAAGCTTCCCAGCAGCACTCCAGGCGTGTGTGGAGTGCAGCACTAAGTGTGCTTCCATTGCGTGCACAGCAAGGCAACTGAGTTATAGTTGTCTCCTCCCACAGTCACAGAAGAGAGAGGCAGGAGAAAAGATATTCACATACAACACGCTTATTGCCATTAACAAAACTGAAAAAAACATCACTGGAGAACAAACTTTAGACAATTACCACTGAAGTCACTGAAAGAGAACAATAAACCCTCAGGTCCTACACAAACTTACTATTTTACAGGCATAGCAGCACATGTTGAATTATTAAATTTGATCCCATAAAACATTCACAGTCATGAAACTGCCCCACAAAATTTTTTATCAAATTATATTTATTCACCCCCTCCCCTGCCTATGGAGAGGAAAATGTTTTGAATTTCAAACGCGAATCCTTATCATTTTTGACACCTCAAACATAAGTCTCTTCCACGCAACGCTAACCCACAGATGTAGACTTTTGATAAAACTGCTGTATGCCTGAATTTTTTACCTTGCCTCTATACTCTAAACTCTATTGTACTCTGGAAGTAGAGAGGGAAGCGTTTGGCTGTTGGAACAGATTTAGTGAAATCAATGAAGG